GATGCCAGACTGATGCCATCTAGCGTAACTAAATCATTAGAGAATGCCTCTCTAAGGTGTTTTGGACTGAAGACAAGAACTTCAGTTTTGTTTGAGTTGAGCATCAGAAAGTTGTTGGTCATCCAGGATTTTATATCTTTGAGACAAGTTTCTAATTTGGTAACCTGATTCTTCTGGCTTCATGGATAAGTATAACTGGGTGTCATCTGCATAGCAGTGGAAATTAATCGAGTACTTCCTCATAATTTTACCCAGAGGAAGCATGTACAAGGTAAAGAGGATCAGTCCAAGCACTGACCCTTGCAGGACTCCATAGCAGACCTTGGTGTGTGCAGAGGATTTATTATTAACATGGACAAACTGGAATCGATCCGTTAGATAAGATTTAAACCAGGAAAGAGCGGATCCTGCTATGCCGATAGATTGTGTCAAATGCAGCACTAAGATCCAACAGGACAAGAACAGAGAGAAGACCACTGTCTGAAGCCATGAGTAGGTCATTTGTCACCTTCAGCAGAGCAGTCTCCGTGTTGTGATGGGTTCTAAATCCAGACTGGAAATCCTCCAATAAACCATTGTTATGAAGAAAATCTCAAAGTTGATTTGCAACAACTTTCTCCAGGACTTTAGAAATAAAAGGAAGGTTGGATATTGGTCTGTAGTTAGCTAGGGTGCTTGAGTCAAGAGTAGGTTTTTTAAAGAGAGGCTTAATCAATGCAGTCTTACACATGTTGTTACATGTGTAAGTTGTACTTGTTACACAGCACAGTGAGAACTTGGAAGATCATAAGAGTGCTTTATAAGAGCATCATATCCTCCAAACAGCATGAATTTTAAATCTCACATTAACAGAGTCGGACTTTCAGGAGATGTTCAGAGAATGAAAACAGTCCAGCGCAGCAGAAAAAGCTGCAGCTGTTTCTCTTCAACAATCAGAGAGGGTTATTGTGTGGATTTTCACAGTTTATACCAACACTGTGGGTAACCATTAGTTTTTAATCTTCGGGTAATTTTGGTGAATAAATGTGGTTAAACAGCTTTGTTTTGGTCATGAATTCAACATCACTAAATCTCTGTGCACTTCTGAACCAGGACCCGTGTGTAATAAAAACTGCTGAACGGTCAAATAGTCTTTTTCTCTGTTTGATAATGAGCTCTGTATCACTGTGTGTGTGTGCACAGACTTCTCATCACCTGCATTATTATCAAAGCTTTAAGTTGAACATGATTTCAGAGCAACATGGACATGGACTGAGTGAATCTCTACGTCTTTAATTTATTCCGCCAGCTGTCATATTTAAAACTCTATTTTTAATATCATAGTTTGGATGACAGGTTATATTTCAGAACTCTGTGAGTCCCTTAGATCTTGATATGCAAATGAACAATCAGATCAAATTATGAAATCTGACTTTCCGATGACATTTAATATGTTTGAAGAAACAGGATCATTTCAAATGTCTGACAGCAGAAAATTAAGACTGAGTGAAGAAAGAGCAAACTTCCTGTTTCTTAAGTTTCTGCATGCAGTCTCAAAGTTTTTTTTTTTTTTTTTTTTTAATATGATTCTGATTTTCTGCTTGAATTTCAATAAAAGTTGTTTATCTGACAGATGATGAAGAGCTTCATCTCCATCAAGTATAAATTCTGTCACCTGTTCAAGTAGCACAGCCTAATGATAACTGACATCAGTTCAGTTAATATTCATTATAAAGACTGAAGGAGTCAAATTTAGAAAATCATCTCACGTCAGTCTTCCTTTGCTTGAGCAGATTTTTATTTCCTGGTCTGCTGTAAGATTTCTTCAAAACAGTCTTGCTAAAATCCCTGCAGGTGATCATATCAGTATGAAAGATAGGAGTCTTCTCTGAAAGGATCCTGGCTCTTTAAAGTCATTAAAATCACCACATTTGTTGAAAATTCAGAAAGTAAATTGGGGAGCAAACAAAAAGGAAAAGATGCAGCTCCTCATATCAGAGAAGTTTGGAATGATTGCGAGTTTCGAAAAGACATACAGCTCAGTCCAAAACGTCCTCTACTTTTTTCTTTGATTTCTTTTGGCCGTTAGCGACGACTGGAGAGAGACAGGAAACATGAGAAGTGAGGGATGATACGCAGCACGGGGCCAGGACTCAAACCAGGGACGGCTGAAGCCACTGTGCCATCTGGCTCACCTGTCCTGAATGCTAACAGTGGAACAAACAGGATAAGAATCCTCTATGGGAGCAGGATCAGCCTGTTTCCATGGTGACTGATAGAGTGATTAAAAAGTCAAATCAAAGTGTTTCTTCTCTGCGGATGATCGAGGGAAGGATCAGCTGTTTGACCTGAAACAGTCAGGTCTGTAGTTCCTCTGCTCTCAGTCCGATATGACAGCATAAATACACAGATTATAATCCACTCCTCTAACCTGCAGACAGGCTGAAGCTGCTCTCCTCTAGTCAGATATTACAGCATAAATTCACAGTTTGTAATACCCACTTCATACTTAAGACAGGCTGAAGCTGCTCTCCTCACAGTTAAATATAATAGCATCAAATGATGAAGCTGCAGAGGAAACTTAGACAGGAAAAGTTTTCAAAAGTGGTTAAAAATAATGAATAAAAAGAGGTTAAGACTTTTTCCTCACAGTGGAGCAGAGACATTTTGTCCTCTTTGGACTGAACTTTCCTCTCCAAACTTTTCTTTCTAAATTCATCTTTTCTTGAGACCATCTGCTGCAGAGCTGTTCTCTCAGAGTTTTTATTGATGTAGATTTTAATTCAGAGCATTGATTCCAAGTGTTGTACAGCGGTGACTTCTTGATGAAGCTCCTTTTACGATGCTCTTTTTCCTTTAGCTTTTCTCTCCCCAGCTGTTTTTCTTGCCATCTTCTTACTAAACTGTAGTCTGTTAAGTCAGAGTGGGCTCTCTGAAGGGACGAGAAGTTTGAAAGAACATTTTGGTTAAAGAGGCCAGGAGTGACTCTTTCTCATTGCAGTTGTTTCCTATTTATTGCAGAACACAGATCTTCTCGGTCTGGATTTTAGGATCTCTTCAGATCATCTGCAACTCACTGTTCGAGAGGAAACATCCAAACACAGAGTTTTTAATCAATTCAGCCTGTTCTCACTGACACTTCTGTGAATTTTGTCAGAGATCAAAGTGAGTTGAAGTAAGAAACATGATCAAAGAAAGAAGTGGTACATCTCTGCAGGGCTCCGGCTCTCAAATTTACATTGAGAGTAGTGAAGAAATTTACTGACGGTTAAACCAGTAAAGAAAAGCTGAAATTTCTTGAATATCTAAAGACCCTATAAGTGGCTTATAATTTTTTCCTGTGAGCACACCTGATCCAAAGAGAGACGCTTTTCTCCTGCACACCTGTCTGATGCTAGGAGATCACAGAACTGATCAACTGTGTGAGCAGCAGGTGGAGAGATGCTGATTGTTGATGATGGAGAAAATGCAGATCAGATCAGCTGATGAGAGACATCAGATGCTCTTTTCTGTTTCTCTAGAGTCCACAGAGTCTGGACCTGAAGTCTGGTCCTAAGAGTTGTCTTTCAGTGGATCTCCTGAGTCTCTGCATTTCTCTCTCAGTTTCTTCTTCCACCTGCTCTTATAAATTAAGTCCATCAGGCTGATTTTGTTGGAGTTGACCAGTTTTAAAATAATGATGTCTTAAACGTCTCTGTGGTAACTGTTTTTACTACATTCTCCATATTCTGATTAAATCCATGCTTCATAATGGCATATTCATCCCTGGACACTTTGCACAGGTGGTTTATTCTGTTTGTCTTGTAACTTTAATAAATACTTTCTTTGAATTTTTGCATCATCTGGCAGTTTATCACCTGCACCTCTTTATCTCTAATCTTTCTTCATTTCTTCTCCAATCTTTGTTAGGAACAGAAGATAGATATTCCCTTTAGTTTTAAATGCCGAGTTTCCTTTAGAATAATGATCTATAAAACTTAAGCTCAGCCGTTGCTGTCAGCCATCCTTCCTCCACTTTAACACAAATCAGGCAATACTGTATGTAACTTGAAGTCAGTTTTTTCTCTCCTGTATGCTGTCAGGAAAGTTCTGAGTCGAACAGGCTGTAAACCTGCTGACTGTCTGTGCAGCTTTGTGCAGAGAGGGAATAAAAGGTGAAAGTGAGGGGAGGAGAAGAGGACAGACTCTGTCTTTAAGGCTTTGTTCAGTATTGACTGAGTCTGAATTGGATTCAGCTCAGAGTGAAGTGGCTCTGAGCTGGAAGCGCTGAAGATGAGCTGCTGCAGCGTCTGTACTGGGATATATGAGACAGAGACGTCCTCAGTCGTATCAGGATGAAACACTGAACTGTGAAATGATGGATAAACTGAACATCCCCTGTACAATAAATGTGATGAAGAGGGAGACACAGGAAAGAAAAGAGCATCAGGATAAATGGAGGACACTGCAGAGAAAACAAAGAGAGCAGACAGAGAGATAAATCCAGATTAGAGGCAAACAGCAGGGAGGGATGTGGTGCTGTGCTGTCCCATCAGAGACTGAAGTTAGAGTGTTAATCACATTATTTCATGTTGTATGAGTTTGTGAATTATTTCCCTCTCTTCATCAGAAGTCTTAGTTCACTGTGTTTGTTTGCATGCTGAGATTTAGACTATCTCTTTAAAATCTGTATCTGCCTCTACTTTTCTTTGGTCGTCTGCATGCTCTGAGATTTTGGCTGCAGCTCATTAGTCATCCATTAATAACTCTGATTCTCAGTTTGAGTCTAAAGGAGATGAGTAAACTCCAGCTCAAAGACCCCCTTTACAGCGATTAATCCCTCCACGTTCAGCCAAGATAGAGTCCATGAACACTCTCCTGCAGCAGTATCACATCCTGCACAGAGACTACCACCTGCTGTGCTGAAAGTAAGAGGAGGAATTAAAGGCTTCACATGAGAGCTGCTCTGTTTTTGGCAGGTTTTAAAGGTGAGATGTTCAGTCTGCATGCTGAACTGTCAGAGTGTCTTTATACTTTCACTTCATCTTCTTACCTGCTCTGACTCTTCCTCCAAAGTCTTCTAGGCAGTTTCTGAAACTGTCCTTTTTCTGTCAGACTGTATGAATGCAAAGCCACCGATCGGTCGGTTCAGGATGCAGCTGTCCTCATCTTCCTCCTCTCCTTGTTCTGTGTTTTTCTCTTTCACTCAAAAGTTCTTCTGTCTCTGGAGTTCTTCTTCACCTTCACTTTGAGAGGGATGCTGTGTTTTCTGTTTGTTTTCGGTTGTTTTTCACCTAGAGAGATGGAGCCGCATTAGTTTGCAGTTTGTTTTTCGCTGCTCAGTCTGCGCTCACAGATAAACAGACGGATCACATGCTGGTGTTCAGAGTTTAGTCACAGCTAAGTAAGTATCCCTTCTAGATACTTGAGTTCAAATCTTTGGTCTTTGTAGGGATTAATGGTCAGTCCTTTTGATCATTTTCCCAAACGCCATGTTTCCTAAATGAGAGCTGAATGTTAAAGCTCTGATAGAGATCTGACAGTAAGTGTCTATAGAGCAGAGCAGATGGTTGTTCTGTGTTATATATTAGCTATACTGAACAAGTGTACAGCCTCAGTCACCTGATAGCCGATAGTCTCCCTCGTGACTCCTAACCTCCACCCTGAGAAGCAGGAACATAGGGGAGACCGGGGCTTGTTGTCACACTTTTTACACTGTTATGTATTTCTTGAAATCAATGCATTATATAAAAACAAAGTGTGTACCAGATGAAAGACCAAAGTCTCAGGTATATGTTTCGTATTCATGTCATTTTCATATCTTGTGTCAGTGCAGACTTAAAAGCAATCAAATAGAGAGTGTGAACATGTGACATGCTGCCCCACCATCGGGTAAGTTGTCTCACCATATGGGGTAAGATGTCACGCTAGATTTTGCAGCTAATAAAACCAGGACAAAATAATTGTTGTTCTCATTTTTTAACTGGAAAGTTAACATCAAAATCAGGCACAGAAAACTTCAAAAAAGTCATTTAACATAGCCATTGAACAAACGTTAACATGAAATATTACACAACATGCACTGGATTAAAGTACATAGGAACTGCTGGCATGTAGGCTATGGCTCTCAACGTCAAATGCCTGTTTTGCTCACAGTTATCACATGTGACGACTTACCCCAGAATAACTGAGACATGTTGCCCCAAACTACCATGTTCGCTAATTCTAGCTCTATCTTAAAGTTATCTTAAAACAAAACAATGAATGAGGTATGACAGAATACCTTAATCTCTCCTCTAACAAGTCCACATGTATCACTGCTAGGATTTTTATTTCGAAGAGGCTTATTTCAAAATATATATTGTTAAAAAATTTTACTTTGGGTTGTGCAAAATGGTTAATTAGCGCTCACCTCAGCTCACAATGTGCTTTTTTCTTCTCAGACAGAACACAACCTCTGACCATGTAAAGGAATAAAACTAGTATTTCACTTTTTAGTTGCACCCCCAGGTGGACAAGATAATTGCAATGTGACAACTTACCCACAAGCCCCGGTCTCCCCTACATCAACACATACACACAGCTCTGAGTATGATTAATCAGGGGAGATGTAATCTGTGGGTTTTCATGGTCTTTAGTATCCTGGTTCTGATCTCAGTCCTGGTTCTGATCATGATGGGGATATGATTATCCATGTTCTTGTGGACATGGGCTTAGCACTACAGATATTAAGTATCTGCCTAAAATCCTCATGAAACATACTGAGGGGTGTGGTTAAATAACACCCATCCATACCATCGTTTGCTTATAAAAAAAAAGGGCTGATCCTGTTTAATCCTGTTCCACCTTTCATAAAGTCAGTAAATCATCACGAACTCTGAAAGAAAAGATTTTACATAAAAAAAAAAAAGGCTCCCTGACTGGCCTTATGTTGAGTAAACCCGTCTCTGTGAGAGGTTTCCACAGCAGCAGCCGTGTTGTTATCAGCCCGTTCTGCTGCTGTAGTAAATGGATCGAGGAACAGAGCCTCTCTCAGCTCCTGCTGTGATTCAGCCTCTCTGAGACAGGAGGACACACTGAGTGGGAGAGAGTGAGCAGAAACACAATCAATATTCCTACAAAAGCTTTTTTGTTTGGATTTATCTGATCGTATCGTCAAAAGGAAAAGCTCTAAACCAAAGAATGAAAGCAGCTAGATCTACTCAAGATGGTTATGAAACAGTTTATTTCAGATATTTTCTTTCATATTTGGACAAAACTCACTAAAGATCTGTTTTCCTCTGTGTTTACTGGGTCCTACAGTCAATTTTTTTGTCCTGCAATGTATCAAACAGCCATTTGCATTTCCAACAGATGTATTGACGATGGTTTGAACTTCAGACAACTCAGTCTAAACTGTCATCAGCTGATTACCATCTTTGAAAAGATAGGTCTATTGATGCTGCTGCAGCAAAACTTTGGAATTGTTTTTTATTTTTATTTTCAGCCTATAAGGTGGGGTAGGCAGGATCTGAGGAAGTCCCAGTTTTGGGGAGAAATCTTGAGTGTAAACACTACTTCTCCCAACCAGTTTTTCTCTCAGCTCCTCCTTTCCCCTCCTTCTCTGCTTCAGCAAGCCCCGCCCACAAACAGATGCTCCTGCTTGCTCATAACGTTCCAATTAAATTCAGATATAATGCAGATTAATACTTCAGATAATTACAAATGGGGCCCAGTCAACGTGAAAGTAAATAGCATTGGTGCTACTGTAGATGCCAACAGACCACCAGCAAACACAATGTTTGCAGGACTTCTACAACCAGGATAAAGTGACATACTCCAGGACCCGAGGTAAATAGTTTAGCAGCGCTACAACACGCAGCAGGTCCCGTTTGACAAGAAACACTTCTGTTACAGACACTTGGCTTACTTTGTTAAAGTGGTTTACCTGTCTAGCAGAAAGGTTACAGGGTCCATAAGATCCCAAAGCTTCCCCCATCATTGTTGACCTGGCTTTTTAGCTCTTGTCTGCTCTACCTCCTTTTTAAGCGCCCGTTATTCTGCCCGAGTCTCCGGTATTTAGTTAATTTTCTTGCTTGTGTTGGCAGTTGTGGCTAAAGGAGGATTCAGACAATTTTCCGTACTTTCTGGTTGGTTTCTACTGTCTAATATTGTTGCAGGCTAACTTTGTATGGGCTCATGAATGACACAGGGAGCAGCGTCTGCCTCACAACCAATCAGGCTGGGGGAGGCGGGTAATGGCTTTGTTTACAGTCAGAAAGAGCGGAGCCCTCTGAAATTTTAAAATGTTGACTACACAGACAAAACAAAACACAGCGATATTGTTATATTACCAAACGTCATCACTGACTAATAGCTATTGACTGATATTAAAAGCTTTTTGTATGCTTCTTTAACGCATTCCTGCCTAGCCCACCTTTAAACACTCAGATAATGTAAACACCTGAGTAATATACACACCTAAAAACTCACACCAGAGTATTAAACACATTTGTAAAATAAACTAAGACTGAAATAATGATTCCTCAAGTACCTTGAGCTGTTTCGCACAGATTATTTTCAATGTGACAACGCGCTTACGTCACCTTTAGCTCATTAGCAATTCACCTCTGAGTTGTGGGCGGAGACAGCGCTGCTCTGCAGACTCCTCTTCATGCTAGCTTGTAGCCTAATATTGATGGTGTAGTAGAAGTAGCAGGTAACATAGGAGCTATTCAGCTCTCGGACACTAATGTCTTTAGGGACATGATGAAGGTTAATACCAAGATTAGCTTTCTTACGAGCATTGCAATCCATCAACGCACACGCTTGTTAAGTGACTGTCCTCTCTATTCCTCAGTCTGGTTTTCACAGGCTTGGATTTGAGCTTGGATTTGTGATGGAAATTTCACCGTATGTGAGTGTGCCATTTAGGTCCAATTACTTGAGTAATCAATGGAATATTTGGTAGAATACTCAATTACTAAAATATTCGATAGCTGCAGCCCTAAAATAAACACAACTAAGGATTAAGCAAACCTAGGTAATAAACACACATGCAAAATAAATACATGTGTACATTAAAAAACACCTGAAACAAACATATGTCATAAATACATCAGGGTAAAGACACACCTGAATTCAGTGCTCACCTGGATCATAGACACAAATGAATAAAAGTCACACCTGAAAAGAGGAGGAGGATGAGACACAGTGTCGGTCAGTTAGTCTGTTTACTCACACATCAGCTGCTGCTTTTCGTCCTAATGTGAACGCTGTCCTGGCACAGTGTTGTCCTACTGGGAGACAGAAACATGTTGGACATAAAAACCTTCCTGTTTTCTGATCAGTCTGCCATATCATGTATCCCTGAAGAAAAAGCCAGCATCAGTTTCCTGAGGTGGATCTCAGGTATATTGTAGCACACATTGCTACAAAAACAACCCTATCAAAGGATTATATCGGAACTACACTTCACTGACACACATACCGTGTGTAGAGTCAGAGGAAACATGAGACTCTCTGTGGTTCGGTCTCTCTGCACTGACTTTAGGAAATGTCATGTCTGTGCTCTTCTTTGAATCTTTTCTGACTCTCCCACTCAGCTTGTTGAGTTTTCCTCCTGCTGTTCATGAACTCAGGCTTGCCCCAGTCACTCTGTTTATCAGTAAAATGTTTGTTTGATAAATTCTAGCATGGCGTCCTCTCCCAGCATGTCATAGAGCTGCTGATGCAACACAGCGGTTATAACCCTCCTATTCAAACTGCCATTTACACCCTGGCTGCTCTGAACCGTGACAGAGGCTCCCCAGAAGCTCATCTGCATTACAGAATCACTCCTTCAGTGTTTGTGTGTGTATGTGTGTGTGTGTGAAGCAGTGTGTGTGTGAAGCAGTGTGTGAAGTGTTTGCAGGCCTGCATGTGTTAACGCATTTACAGAGCAGTATGTTTAGCATATTGGTCTTCTCTTTCCATGAACTTTCTCCCCTCTTCCTGTGGAGTAAAGGTCTGACTGATGTAGTCTGTGTATGTGGGTCGGTGTGCACTGTAAATACAACTAACAGATGTAGTAAAGACCGACCATGGGTGTATGTAGGAGGAACAGCTGATGACCAAACTCATCCAGCGGAGCACAGCTGTACTTACAGCTTTGTATCCTCTTTGAATGAGTTTCGAACCATAACTCATCCATCTGCCCAGGTTCAGTTTAAACATTTTCAGATCTGGTTGTGCTGTATTTGCTTTGTATGTGGAGGTCAGTCTCTGAATCAGAACATCTACAGACAATGAAACATAGATATGTCCACAGCAGCTGGTCATCTATTCTGCAGATTTTCCTTCTTGGTCTCCATGTGACAGGCTTTATTCCAGCATAAAATTAAGTTAGGGTCAAACACACCGTAACACCGAGTTAGACACCCCCTCGAGAGATGAATAGTGCAGACTACTTGCTTCTCTAGTTTTACCAACTTCAGTTACAACCACACGATAGCAATGCACAGTGGTTTACTGAGCCACGCGCACACCTGAACCAAAAAGCCACTCTATAGTCACTCACAAATAATGCTCAGAACAGCACCTAACTTCATCCAGAGTACACATAGGGTCCCAGCCATAATACTAGCCATCAAACAACTTTTTAGCTTTCAACCAAACACAACCTACTCTTTTCCAGCAGCCGCTTATTTGTGGGGGAGCCCTGATGAGTCGATCACTCAGTGCAGCGGATCATTTCCAATTTTCTACTGCAGAGGCGGTAGTGCTTCTGCCTTAGTATCTCGGTCTTGAGCTGCGGAACTCCACCGCATTTAGTGATCGACTCATCAGGGCTCCCCCACAAACAAGCGGCTGCTGGTTGAGAGTGGGTTAGTTGTGTTTGGTAGCTTTGCTTAAGAAATCAGACAAAACTAAAAAGATGTTTGATGGCTCGTGCTATGGCTGGGACCATATGTACTGTTGATGAAGTTGGGTGCTGTTCTGAGCTTTATTTGTGTCATTATTTGTAGCAAGAGTGGCTTTTTGGTTTAGGTTTGCACATGGAGATGTAGACCGCTGTGTATTGCTATTGTGCGGTTGTTACTGAAGTTCATATAACTAGAGAAGCAAGCAGTCAGCAACATTCATTCATCTCTTGACGGGGTGTCTAACACTGGTGTTACTCAAATTTACGCCGGAATATCTCTTGAAGTCACATCAGTGAACACCAGCTCACCTGCACACCTGTTCATGCATATACTGTTCAGGGACTTCATTTAAAGCAGAGGGTGTAGATGAAGTTGTTTCCTGTATAATTACAGAGTCTATCAGTTGTATTGGAGCTGCAGGGACAGACAGAGCGAAGCACACATTCACACTGTCAAAACCATGCAAAGAGAGAACGAATCCAGCCTCTCTGACTCAGAGTAAGTACTTATTAAATTGATCTGTTCAGTGTCAATTTGAATTCAGCGGTCCAGTATTTATTGGCTGGTTTAATGGACATCTTTAAACATGAAATAAAGAAACAGACCTGCTGCTGTCTTCGTCTGTCTCTGTGCAGGAAGCTGAGCGTCAGGCCTGACAGAGAGATCCACACAATGTTCCACTCCACCGAGATTTACTCTCCAACACGTCCTCCAATTCTCAGCTGACCTCACCTGCTCTGTTTGCTGTCTGCTCCTCTGTGATCTGGCATTCACACTCTGTCTCAGAGGGACACAATGTAGGGAAATAATTCACGGGAGTCAGTCTGTTCATTACAGGAGCATTTATTCACACAATAATTAATTTGAAGGTCTGGAGACCGAGAAAACCGAGGACAGTGCCTCAAGCTTGCTCATTTTTTAAGGTCAGCGTCAGGGTCTGCATGCTGCACATTTGTGGGTCAGAGCAGAGACCACCAGCACCAAATATCCAATCCCCTGTCTTCTCTTGCTTAAATGATACCCCATCTGTCTGAGTTCAGCTGTTACTCAGCTTAACTTGTCTTACTAACCGCCATCAGCTTCACTGAATGAGGTTCCTGTTCACCTCCTTATTTTGCATTTTCCGCCTGAACCTCATTTCTGGCACTCTTAAGCTTGGCGTTCCCAAACCTGTTCTAGACGGTCAGTGTGATCTGATCTACCAGCTGGTAGAATGATTATAAACATTGAAACCCAGTTACTGTCATTAACAGTGTGAGGACTAGAGACAAACAGCAGCCAATCACAGCCTGCGAGGACAGTACGGGACAGAGAGGAAGAAACAAAAACATGATTATGGCAGAGGTGACACAGACACAGGTTTATAAAGATGAGCTGGTTCTGTGGATGATGGTGAAGCTGATGGGTTTAAGGCAGAGCTGGAGGACAGATGGTCATGAAATGTGTGTTACTGAGCTCTCTGCAGTGCCTGATGGATCATCTTTGGCTGTGCTGTGATCACTGATATTCATCTCACTGCTTTGCTTTTTTCTGGATCTTTATGTCAAACACACGGATCAGTCAGCGAGAGAGGAGCTAGTCTCTGAGATCCCGCTGAGATCCAAACATAATATGATCTTGTGGAGGTTTAATGGCTGTTGTATGTCTTGTCTTCATGCTGAGAGAGAAGAGGATGATCTGAAATCTGCTGTGTGGATCTGATAATGTGTTAAAAGTCTTTATATATGAGGCTGACTGTTCCAGAGTCTCAGAGGAGGATGCTGTAAGTCCAGGAAGAAGATGTTCAGTCTCTGGTGGGGATAATGGCGATAGACCTTTATGATAAAACTGTCCTCAGTCACTTTTTATCCACCTTTCCTCCCTCGAGGACTTCCTGTTTACTGGCAGGGCAAAAAGAGACCTCTTTGAGTCAGGGAGACTACCTGTTAGTAATCGTCTTCCTCCATTACTGATGGACCGTAGGTTTAGTGGGAGCAGCTGGAGGAAAAGATTGGTATTGTTTGACTTTTATGAGAAATAAAGAGTCAAACTGTGTCAGTCTGACTGACTAAACCCTGAAACTCCTTTATAAACATGAGACGCTGTCAGACCTCTGAAGGCCGACCATCAGGATGTTACATAATGAAAACAATGACCTCACTGTTCGCCATTAAACAGGTTCAATGGTCCAGTACTAAATTGTGAAGTTGTAAAATGATCGAGGGGAATGTATTGTTGTAACACGCTGTACATTAAAAGGTGATTTTCTCTCTTCAGAGAGAATAAAAACAATATATATATATTTTCAGTTTAATGAGAGGGTGGACCACATGCTCTGGTGTTTGTGGTGTCAGAGCGTTAGAAGTCGTTTTTCCTCGTCACCATGTTGCTCAGATTGAAACAGAGTTGAATAAATGTGTGCAATATTTCCATGTTTGCCGACTGATAAACCTCATTATTTCTCCTCTTCTGCTTCCACACAGAATGTCACAAAAGTCACTGTTCAGACTCATTTCACTGATACAACCAAGACATTTGCACTTTTTCTCACACCAGAGATGAATCTGTCCTTTAGCAGCGCCGTTATATCAGTCAGATCTGACCCAGCATGATATCTCACACCCCGCTGTGAAGGCAAACACTGATAGAAACACATTTCAGCAGATAACAGCATTAGAGTTGGAGGAGTTTTATTGGAGGATTAATTTTGATTTTTACAGAAAATGCTCTCTGTGAAAGTCTGCTTCTGTCATTCCCATCGTGGATCCTTCACTCGATGTTTTCAATGATTCTTCATCTTAATGATAAAGGAGTTTAAAAACAGATATTGCCATACTCAAGGACATTTTAACTCCCTAATGGTTCAAGCTGCTATAAAATGAATAGAATCTAAACTACACATGTCTAAGCCACTTTTACTACTTTGGATAAAGCTCTCTGTTCTTCAAATTCACCTATAAGAAGAGCTGGAGGTTTGGTGAATCTCCAGTGGGGTGAACTTTGTGAGCTGAAGGTCTGAGGAAAGACATTAGTCTGAAAAGTTTTTTATTGTCCTGTGTTTTTGGACCAAATAAGGAACCTCTCTGAGTTTCACCACAGGGTTGTCTTTGCTATAATAAGATACTTAATTTAACGATCAGACTGTCTCTGAAATAAATGAACTGTGAGATGCAAAAACTGTTTGGATCGCTTTAACATAATCTCTGCTAAAGCTGTGATATAGAGGATGTTTGGTGAAGGGAAAGTGGTGATATGAGACTGTATTTAAAACACAGCATTAGATATCTGTGTATTTACCACAGTAACTGAAAACAGTTTGCATTGGTCTCTGAACTGGTCTGTTTTTTTCTCAGGTCCCAAAGCCACCATCCTAAACCTTTATCTGTGGATAATGAACTTGTAATGAACATGTTG